ATCTTAGGTCCAAATAAGTGTATATGTAATTTTTATGAGTATGAATACAATGGTGTTTCTAAAAAGGAATCTCCATAACAACAGAAAGTATGTATGAGGATGTCAGAAGTCAGAACATCTTGTGTATGGTTACATGCTACAACTATTCCTTAGATAAACTAGTTGTGTAGAACTTCGCCCTTTTTTTGCAGAATCTTGTATTTTTAATGTGACAAACGAACTAATGCATTGCAATCTAAAGTAAATCATACCCCGTCCTATGAAATTTAAAGTGAATCTACACTTGATGACTAGAAAAAGAAACATAAAAGTATACAAGCATGTGCAAGAAAAGAAGATGAACAACTTATCACTTGCCTCATATGTCATCTAACTAATCGAGTGGTTCGAATAACTTTGCTTCGCCACAGTGATGACAAAGCCAACCTTTTATTGAAGCCCAAAATCTGCAATAAAGCTGCAATTGTAGATATATTATTTGTCAAGGGAATCCACAAAGCTGAGCTCCTGCACACAAGAGACTAAGAGAGTGGGTGAATTATAAAAAAACCAAGGAGGGTGAGTGAGGTGCACGATGAAGTTAAATATTAGAAGTACTCCAAAATAGTGGGGTACCAAAATTATAGGCCTCGTTGATTCAAAGAATTTTCATAGAAATTTGAAGGATTATGGTCCTTCAGATTTTTTCCTACATTGGTTGTTCGGTTTGTATGATTGAATTCTATAGGAATTTTTCCTAATGATTCCCTTGTTCTACATTTCAGAGAAATTTTAGCATCTAATCAAACATCTTAAAAAATCATTTGTTTTTATTGTGAAACAATCAAACCAATCAAAATCATATAGGATTTATACAGTCATAACAAATGCAATCCTATGTATTTTCTATTTCTGTGTTTTTGAATCGTGTGAATCAAATTATATTGGCCATAGTGTACTCCTATAGTAAGTTTGGCATCCGTCTTGGTCCAACAAAATAGTGGTGTGGTCGGGATCTCGCTGTGCGATATCTCTTACTCGCTCTGTAAACTAATATAAGACGTTTTAGATCACTAATTTAGTAGTCTAAAACGTCTTATATTAGTTTATTGAGAGAGGATTTTATACCCTCCACTTGGCGGACCAAGTTTATCACCAGTCTCGGTCGTCGACAACTAGTACTGCTCATGCACGTGAGCATATATTGGGTTTAGGCACCGCTGTCTGGTCCACTTGACCACCGTTTGCAGCGGTGAGTTTGCATGTTAACGTTGGATCGCCGTTGTTTTGGTCCTGCATGGAATGATGGCCGGAGTATGTAGAACCATACAGATTAGTACTAATCATAGTAATTAAGGAGTATATCCACTTGGCAACCTTATCGTTTATCCCCAAACGGGCTACGTACTTACCCAACATTACAATCACCGTCGCTAAACTACCCCTTCAATTCCGTAATTTAGTGCATATAGTTTTTCTTTTTTAAATCAAGTTTTACAAACGTTTACCAAGTTTATTGAAAAACCCGCCTACATCTAGAATACAAAATATCTATCATACTGACCTACAATAGCAAAGATTATTTTTTGCCCTCAAGTGAATGCCGGTTTTTTATTCGTGAAAATTTATATACTAATGCAAAAGGAAGTCAAGTTTATTCTAAAAAATCTTCTGAACTATTTTGACTCTTTTTGTATTTTTTTATTTTTCCCATATAGGGTGTAGATACAACCAGGAACCAAGGGGTATTTCCCTGCTACTCCCTCCTTTTCATAATGTAGTGCGTGTAGATTTTCTAAAAAGTCAACCAAACAAACTTTAACATGAAAACTATTTATATGTACAATTCAAATCATACTGAATATTAAAATATAACTGATGATGTTTCAGTTATATGCATTTGGTATTTTAAATGTTCATATTTTGCCTATAAACATATTCAAAGTTTATAATATTTGATTTTTCAAAAATCTATATGCACTATGTTATAAAACAGAGGGAGTATAAGGGCATCTCCAACGCTGGGCACTTGGGGAGGGCGCTAGGAATAAAATCCCAGCTGATCGGCAGTTAGAGCAAGTATAATAGTAGGCTATAAGTCTACTGACGTGGCATTTTTGTCTATGTAGTTGAGAGAGAGTGAAAAAAGTAAAGGAGTGGGCTCTTATGCAAGAGCCCGTCTCTATGTGTACTCCTAGGTAAAAACATTTAATGAGGGAAAAAATAGAGAGAAAATGAGGGAAAAAAACTGTAACCTTATAGCCAACCTCATAGTCAGCATTATTGTATAAGTAAATAATAATTCTAACTCTTGATGAAATGACATGCTCATATTGCCGGCAGCTGGCTATAGTATTAGTCATGCTCTTACTTAATTAATTCTTTGCGTGGGCCGCCGCAGCGACGCAAAACAAGGCATCCAGTGCTAGCCTTTTTTTTCTACGAGATGACACACGAAGCGCTGTTTCCACACATGTTTAGCGCCAGTAGTTAGCGCTCTTTTGGAAAAACAGTGTTGGAGGCTTTTGTGCGAACTGGAATCATTATGTGCCAGAGTATTGAAAGCAAAGTATTCCTCCGATGGTGACCTTCTGAACTATACGTTGAAAAAGGGTAGTTCATATACTTGGCAGAGTCTCTGGAGTGGAATTTAGTCCTTTGAAAGAGGACACATTTGGAGAGTAGGAGATGGATCACAGATTAATATCTGGGAGGACCCTTGGATTCCCAGCAGCCCGACCCACAGAGTTCTTACACCAAGGGGAAATATAGTGATCACAAGAGTTTATGAACTAATTGATTCGGAAAACAGAGTGTGGAATGAACAATTGCTAAACGATTTTTTTGGCCAATTGATGTGGAGCGTATTATGAATATCCCTCTAGCTTTGAGAATGATGGAAGATTTTGTATCATGGCACTTCAATAGAAGTGGAATTTTCTCAGTAAGATCGGCTTACCATGAAGGGTGGGAGCACCGGGAAAATATCTGGTGCTCTGGGAGCACCTAAGCTTAGGTGCTCCCGTGCGAGCTCGGCCATTGGATCTCAGATCCAAGAGCTTCCATGAAATGATGAATATTTTTGTAAAAAAGCCCTCATAGAATCTGAAAAATGTGTGCAAGTACAGCAACTACAGCAACTCCTCGTATGCCCTTGGATCTGAGATCCGAGGGCCCAGAAGTCCATATCATGGGAGCACCTATGTTCCCGTATCACAAGATACTCTCCCTGGGAGCACCAGCATGGACAAAAGTTGAGGACGACAAACTCATTACAAGCCTCAAGTACCATTTGGAAATTGCGTGTGCCATCAAAAATCAAAATCCATGTTTGGAGGACTTTGCTTGGAGCTATTCCTTGCCGTGGTGTTTTAGGAAACAGACATATGATTACAAGTTCCTAGTGTCCCCTTTGTAGTTCGGACTGTAAGAGCATTAGGCATGCCATGTTTCTGTGCCCGAGGGTGCAGGAAATTTGGTGAATTCTTGGACTACAGGAGCTAGTGAATGAAATATGCACAGTAGAGAGAGATGGAGGTTCGGCGCTGGCCGATCTCCTACTATCCAAAAGTACCATATGTCCACTGGTGGCTGATGTCCAGCGCAATGATCTTGTGTCCACAACAATCTGATACGCATGGTGGGAACGGCGCAAATACACACACGGTGAGAACATCTATGAGTCGGCTAGGTCGGGCCAAGCTATATCAACTTTAGCGCAGAACTTTTCACGAGCAAGGTTGAAGCAAACTAAAATTAAAAAGACATGGCTGGTCCAAGCCGCCTAAGGGCGTCATCAAACTTAATGTCGATGCAGCATTTGATCAGGACACTGGTACAGGAGGTACGGGAGCAGTGTTGCATGATGAGGCCGGTTCCTTTGTGGAAGACGCAGCGACAACAAAGGCTAGAGGACTACGAGATGGCCTCCTACTAGCGAATGAAATTGGTTGCAACGAAATTTATGTCGAAGCGGACTGTTTGGAGGTAATCGAGATCATGCTGAGTAGCCGGAATTCACTAGGACCAGCAGCGGTAATATATGAAGAATGCACTTTCTTATCTAGCAATTTTATCTCTATAGTTTTTAGCCATTGCCCTCGGGAAGCCAATATGGCGGCGGATCTGCTAGCTAAGAACTTGGAGGTGTCTCGAACAATTGTTTGGAAATCGAAGCCCCGGGTTTCTTAGTGGATGTTTTAACAAACGATGTATCTTTATTCTCACATGAAATATAAACCGCCATGATAGCATTTCCCTCAAAAAAAGGTAGCGCTTATTTATTTTTAAAATTTCTGTATAAGCGTATGGATAAGTGCTCATCATTGTAGATAGCCTAATTAACTGAATTATTGGACTAACTGCATCAAGATCGGATCACATCACATCTATCCTGTCCCCGTCGGTCGACGACACTCTCCTCCAATCAAAATATTGCCCCAACGCGCGCGCGTGTCGCACGCTGTGAATGCGACCCGCCAATGTCACCAACCCCCCTGCCTCCTTTGTTTTGTCAGCTAATTTACTTCGAGCCCACACTCACGCGCACACCGCGTGTAGTATAGGATCGATCGATGCAGCTTCTCTTCCCCTCCCTTCCTATTTAACAAGCTCTTCGCACCTCAGCAAGGGAAGCACCACTACACACGCTAGAAATGGCGATGGCCAGGACGACAACGACGCTCCTCCTCGCCGCCGCGGCTCTCCTCGTGGCCTCCTGCGGCGCGTGGGAGGCCAACATCCGCATGCCGACCTCGCTGGACCAGGCCGTGGTGGCGCCGCTGATCCACGCGCTGCGGCCGCTGCTGGGCTCCGGCAAGCACGCCGGAGTGGCGTGCGACAGCTGGGTGCTGGGCGTGGAGGCGCACAACGTGCGGGACTGGAAGACGGTGCCCGCCAGCTGCGAGGGCTACGTCGGCCACTACATGCTCGGCAGCCACTTCCGCCGCGACTCCAAGGTCGTCGTCGACCAGGCGCTCGCCTACGTCGACTCCCTCAAGCTCGCCGGCAACGGCAAGGAGGTGTGGGTCTTCGACATCGACGAGACCACCCTCTCCAACCTCCCCTACTACGCCAAGCACGGCTTCGGGTACGTGCACACCATGCTAATTATTGCAGGTGCATCTGAGCAGGGATTTTTCGTAGTAATTGCCCCCTATACACGGTGATGGGCATGTGATTGCCCGGGTAGGACCGTATCTGTTGACTGTTGTCCACTTGGCTACTTTATCGAACGGTTTATTTTTCAGCCGTCGTTATCAACTGATTACTAGTTGCTATAATTATGTTAGAATAAAAAATGAGTTTAGACGGATAATACTTGTAATTATGCAAATATCTAACAAATCGAGGGGTTCCAGTAACTTTGCTTCACCACAATCATTCATGACAAAGCTAACCTTTTTTTTGCGGGGTAGCTAACCTTTTTTGTTGAAAGCCGAAACTCTGCAATAAGCCTTTCTTTTAGCGGGTAAAACATGCATTTCTCAACTCAAAAGATCATTACACTCGATCGCTGCAATGGTAAACCTATTTTATCAAAGGAATCAAGAAATAAGCTGAGCTCTCACGAGTCACAAGCAGGGTGAGCGAGGTGCACGATGAGGTTAAATATATACAAGTTGTGTCGGAGTTGGATCTCGCGGTATGATATTGACTACTCCCTCTGTAAACTAATATAAAAGCGTTTAGTTCACTACTTTAGTATTCTAAACACTCTTATATTAGTTTACGGAGGGAGTAATTAATTTAGACCTCCACTTGGCGAACTTCATTTTTTATCATCAATCACGTTCGTCCACAGATACGTAGAGCATTGAGTTTGGGTAATGCTTATCCCCTTTGGCCATTTGGCCACTTGGACCACAAGGTTACATACTTCGGTTTCCATAATTACCTTTTTTTTTGAATTGGTATGCATATAGTACTACACTAGCTGATATGGTTGAGTCCGCCATTAATCTATCTTCATATACACATACGTGCGCAGAGCTACACCGTTCAACGCGACGAGCTTTGACGCATATGTGTTGGAGGGGAGCGCGCCCTCGCTGCCGGAGACGAAGCGGCTGTACAACAAGCTGCTCTCGGTCGGTGTCAAGCCGGTGTTCCTCACCGGCCGGACCGAGGACAAAAGGGCCATCACCGTCACCAACCTCCTCCGCCAAGGCATCTCCGGGTGGATGAACCTGCTGCTGAAGCAGCCCGGCTTCAAGGGCTCCGCGGCGACCTACAAGTCCGGCGAGAGGCAGAAGCTGCAGGATGCTGGGTACATCATCATCGGTAACATCGGCGACCAATGGAGTGACATCCTTGGCGCACCTGAGGGCGCCCGCACTTTCAAGCTGCCCGACCCCATGTATTACATCGGCTAGGCCGCTCCGGCTTGGGCATGCCCCCATTGATTTCTCGAATAAGCTCCATGCTCTTAGTTATATGCATGTTTAGTCAATAATCCCTCCCAACTTGTTGCTTGGTTCATTTCCATTGTTGAGAACTTGAGATTAATTGCCATTATAAATTAGACGTGTTCGTGGAGAAGTTGCATGTTGCTTAATCTATGGATCCATGGTCCACTATTTTTTTTCTTGCGAGAAATTCATGGGCTATTCTTGTTTGATGTGTTGTTCTTCTCAACTTGGATCTAGTACTAATGATGGTGTAATATTTTACTAAATATTATGGATGGTGCAACTAATATCATAGGTACTCCCTCGTTTCCTAAATATAAGTCTTTTTTAAAGATTCCAATGCGGACTACATATGAAGCAAAATGAGTGAATCTACACTTTAAATATGTCTATATACATCTGTGTGTAGTCCTTACTGAAGAATGGCACTTGTTTTAACCCCTCCGTTAATGGGTCAACTTTGACCCGTTCGAGGAAGGGATCATTGTTGGCGGTCACCAGGCGCCCATCAGTGAAGACTGGAGAGGCCACCAAGGAATTGTGGTCTAAACAGGTGTCCAACATGCATGAACATTAGAGAAAGGCTATGGGAAGCCTCACTATGCTGGTTACCTGGAAGATTTGGAATGAAAGAGATGTGTCTATCTTCCAAGGTATTTAAGCCATGTCAAAGACCTTCCTTGCAAAGATTAAAAATGAGGCAGCAACATGCGTCAAGACTGGGGCAAAGGATCCGGGAAATATTATGTCATAAGAGTGCCCCGTTCTCTTAATTCAGCCTTCCATTGTTAGTTGTTGTTGTTGTTGGTGGTGGTGGTGATGTTGTTGTGTCTCTTTTTTTTTGCGAAAAGGATCAGATCTGTTATAAAGATTCGCCGAAAGTACAAAGCACCTCAAACATAATAAAAATTATATCAAGGTCCATGAACCACCGAACCACCATTGCCGCCGCCAGAATGAGCCGCAGACGCACCGATGTCGCTCCTCCCATACCAGAGCCGGCCTGGCCTTGTCAATAACAGGCAGGGAGTCTTCGTGCATGTGTCACTAAGGACAAGCGCTTTGGAGCCGCAGTTGTCATTGTTGAATCCTTGAATCAATTTGCAGAACCTGACACCAAATATCACCATTGCGTATGCACGGCGAAAAATCCTAACCTCACCGCCCCAAGGAGCTGGAAGGAATCTACGTCGGAGCTCCGTCTAATCCGTCCCAACGGGCGAACTTGAGGAGAATCGGTGTCCGGAAGACTGACTCGAAGAAGAAGCGCTGCCATCCCCCCAAATGCCGCCCCTGTGATGACTAAAACCCTACCTAAGAGACAAATATCTTTGCCTCCGTTTAAAAAAAAGGTTCAGAGCTAGCACAGTTGAAACATGCCTCTACATCAGCCTACTCTAGAGAGTCTAACTGCCTTTTTCTCTCAGTCCTTTTCGTACGACGTGATTAGTGTCTTGACATATAGTGTTTGAGCATGTTCAGCTCTCAGTAACATATCACTTCAAATCGTACAGTTGCTTGTGTTTTCACACTTTCATGCAACAATGAAAAGCCCTCAAAACTCTATATGAACAATAAAAACACTATATATTATGTATCACTCCTCAACAAATTATTATTTTTGCCAATAAAGAAAAACACAATTGTTAGTTTAGACTGATTATAAGTTTTATGAATGTCCCCTACAACGAAAAAGTACATATGAGGATATCAGAAGTCAGAACATGTTGTGCATGGTTACATGCTACAATACTATTCCTTGGATAAACTAGTTGGTATAACTTCCCCTCTTTCTTTCCGAATCTCGTTTTTTAATGTGATGAACAAGCTAATGTGTTGCGATCTAAAGTAAAACATACCTCGTCCTAAGAAATTTAAAGTGAATCTACAATGGACGGCTGGAAAAATAAACATAAAATTATACAAGCACGTAGAAAAAAAAAGATGAACAACCTATCACTTGCCTCATAGGTCATCCAACCAATCGAGGGATTCGAATAACTTTGCTTGGCCATATAATGATGACAAAGTTGACCTTTTGGTGAAAGCGGGAGCTCTGCAATAAAGTTGCAATGGTAGACCTATTTTATGAAGGGAACCAACAAAGTTGAACTTTTTTTTTAAAAAAGGAGGATGACCCCCGGCCTCTGCATCTGGGCGATGCATACGTCCACTTTATTAATTATTCTCACAAGACCTTATAAAGCCATACAACAGCAAGACTAAAGCCACCGTCTAAGCAACAACCGTCGCTACATCTATCCAATTGATGAAGGGGCGCAGATAGTCTGGGCCTAATACCAAACAGACATCGCAGCCAAACCTAAACATCTAAGACCTGAGGTCCCAACCAGAACGCCTGCTGGGTATGGGGCACCTACTAGTCCGGTGCACACCTCAACCAGGACGCCTGCCAGGTATGAGGCCGCCGCAGCCACCTGCCAACAATCCATCTTCAGAGCTGTACTATTGCATGAACTGTGCCAGGTCAACAAAAACTCAGTTGTTGCATGCATTGCATATCCTCACTGACAAACTACAAGGAGGATGAGCGAGGTGCACGATGAGATTAAATGCTATAAGTAGTCAGTAAGTTTGACAATTGTTCTTGGTCCAAACAAAACAATGGCGTGAGCGATGACGAAGCGACGATACCGGAGTTGGATCTCGCTGTGTGATATTTATCGATTTGTACGCTCCACTTGGCCAGCTTAATTGATCACCAGTCTCGCTCATCGACAACTGGTGATGCTCATGCACGTGCGTTACATACAGAGCATATTTTGGGTTTAGGTACGACTGTCTGATCCACTGGACCACCTTCTCATTAGTAGAAAACCTCAAGTTTGAAGCGATGAGTTTGCATGTTACCACTCCTACTAATTAATGAGTATATCCACTAGCTGGTATCTGACATTCAAATTCTCCACTTGACGACGGCCTATCCACTTGGCCACCTTATCGCTTATCCCCAAACCGGCTATATGATGAAGTATGAACTGCTCACTCACCCAACATTACAAGCACTGTTGCTAAACTATACTCTTACAATTCCATAAGTAGTATATATATTTTTTCTAAAAAAATAAACTTTACAAACTTTGACCCAGTTTATAGATAAAAATGTCTATATCTACCATATTAACATATCATTAGATTCATGAGACATATTTTCGTATTGTATATGTTGAGTATTGTAGAGATACATAGAACTCTCTATAAACTTGGTCAGATTTTACAATGTTTGGCTTTTTATGAAACCACACTATGAAATGGTGGGAGTGTCATGTGGAATTATTGTGTTTCAGACAATGTTTGATATCAAACACAACATGTACAATGTTCTACATGTTTCTCCAGTGTGCAAAACTATTAGTTGAACTGGCAATTACGTGCAGGAGGAGTTCCATGTAGCTCGACCTACACAGGAATTTTCTGCGTGCAGGAGGGCAGTGCGCCAGCACGACCAAAGACTAAGTGGATATATAACAAGCGTATCTTGTTCGGTGTCAAGACGGTGTTCCTCATTGTCTGGACAGAGGACCAAACTGCCATCACTTTCACCGACCTACGACGCTAGGCCTTCTCTGATTGAATAAACCTGCTGCCAAAGTTGCTCGGGTTCAATCGCTCTGCGGTGACCTACAAGTCCGGCGAGCGGCAGAAGCTCCAACACGCCAGGTATGATATCGTAGGCAACATCAGTGACTAGTGGAACGAGATCCTCAACGCCCCCGAGGGCACCCGCACCTTTAAGCTTCCCTACACCATATACTACATCGGCTAGATTGAATGCTAGCTCATCGTGCACGCATAAGCTCCGTGCTGTTCATTATATCCATGCTTTGTCAATTCTTTTTTTTTCAGGGATGCTTCATCAATACTAATCCACTATTGCTGCTTGGTTAGTTTCCATAGTTGAGACCTTCATTCAATTACTAGTATTAATAAGGTGTGCTCCAAAGAAATTGTATCTTGCATAATCAATGAACCGATGCTCCATTTTTTACTTGATTATGTAAGATGAAGTTTCTATTTTATTTCTCTGGTTTTATTCCTTTCTGTTCTGTTTTCGACTCTTCAACCCTTGTTCTTTTTAATTTTCCCATTTTGTGCTTCAATATTTCTTTTCAGTTATATATATACGGTGGCGCTAAACTAAGAGAGCGTGCAGAATTACTAATCATGCGTGCCGATCGCTAGTTGCTTCGCTCTGCGCGCCACTCGCTCCATCTCCCAGGCTTTATGCAAATGATAGTAAAACACAGTAGGGAAACTAGTAATGGAATTAATTCCTGTTACGGTAGCCACACGCCTCATCTTCGTCCCGCAACACTTTTGGCTAATGGTAGTAAAAAAAATAAGCACACACGGTAATGGTGTTACTGGTCTGACTGCATGACGCACTATGAACCCGCAACACTTCCGGCTAATGACAGTAAACAAACCAACATATGTGGTAATGCTGTTACCAGACTTCGTGCACAACGCACTATGAACCACTAAAGAACCATGGTAATAAATATTCACATATATGGTAATGCCACTTGCACCATTCATATACTCGCTTGATCATAAAAATAAAGTAATCACATGGTAATGTATAGTTTAGTCAATACTTGACAATAGTAAGGATATGCTATGGCCCTATAGTTATTGGTTTACACTTTTTTAGTTGGGTTTTTTATTATATATTTGAAATGTGATTAGCATATACCAGTATAGTGTTGGCGTGGGGAATATAGTAATAGAACTAAATCAGTTACTGGTTGCATGCACCAATAGCCATGTAGTATTAACTATTCACCTAATTCTCGTACGTAGTAAAATCCTTCACAAATATGGTTACTAACAGATTTCCTTACTACAAGCATGTACCACACCTCACCCAGCACCCACTAACTATTCACCCTAATGACTCCTAGTAAAATCCCTTGCAAAACATACTAACAAAATTACAAGAA